AGGCCAGCTGGCGCCTCCTGAATCTCCTTCCTGAAAATAACACACTTGGTCTTCGGGAAACTCTGTGGAAGACACTATTTTTACTTAAAACAAGATCAAACCAGAGACCTTTTCACATGTGAGTCCTAGAACTGTAAACCAGAACCCTTTCATATGTGATTCCTGAAACTGTAAACAGAGACCTTTTCACATGAGAGTCCTAAAACTGTAAACTGGAACCCTTTCATATGTGATACCTAAAGCTATAAACCTAAGATTCTTCCATGTGTAACATCTAAAGTATAAGCCTATATAAAGGCAGAACCTTCCTTTGTTAGATGAGCTGGGTTTTTGACAAATTACGGCCTGGTCTCCTGGCCTAATAAACTCCTCCCTCCTTTATTCGGTGTTCGAGAGATCCCTTTCCATTCCTGCTACAGTATGACTCTTAGCTGTGGGGGAAATCTTTTTAAAAAATTTTTTAAAATTTAAGATGATAGTTGCCAGTGATTCCTCAACTGGATCTGGACAAAGGAAACTGAAAACTTTGAAAGGATCCACCAGTCTGGCTCTGTCACCCAGGCTGGAGTGCAGTGGCATGATTTTGGCTCACTGGAACCTTTCACCTCAATCTCCTAAGTAGCTGAACTACAGGCATGTACCACCATGCCCTGTTAACTTTTGTCTTTGTTGTACAGACAAGGTTTCAACACATTGGCCAGGTTGGTCTTGAACTCCTGAGCTCAAGCAATCTGCCCCACCCACCTCAACCTCCCAAAGTGCTGGGATTATAGCCACTGCACCCACATCCTTGATGCCCCTGAGAACTTTCATGATTCATGGGAAGATGCCAAAATATCAACATTAATAGGAATTTAAAAGAAGGTGATGTAAATGCTTATGGATGACTTTGAGGGACTCAAGACTTCCATTGAAAAAGAAGTAATACAGCTGTAAGAGCAAGAGAACTAGACTTAGAAGTGGAGCCTGAAGATATGACTGAATTGATCTCATTCCTAGCTTTTCCTTTCCCTCTTATTGGTTAGTCTATTGTTTGTCCCACTGAATATCCATTACCTCAGGCAGGCCCCAGGGAAGATAATTAGGCTTTTCACACTCTGAGTCAGGAATAGTCTTGCAGCAGGGTTTTCCAAAGAACCACCAAACAGGTGACATAAAGATAATTCTCTGGGAATGAGGCTTTGAAGGTGTTCCAATCCCATTTTGCTTCCTCTGGTGCCTGCCAGGCTATTGGTTTAAGATTACAGGCAGTTGGTTTTCAAGAATACCAAGGAGCTGGAAAAGGGGATAAGAATAAGGAATGCCACAGAGCTCACTGAGATGCAGCTGTTTTTCTTTAATGATCATTCCCTGGATTGCTATAAGCATTTGGTTAGTTTCCCGAATTATGAAAAAGTTGATTCTGACAAATTTCTGCCAGCTGTTTCACTGCTTTTATGGAGATAATTCTCTGTGTTCCTTACTCTGCCATTTTCACTGACATCACCCGGGTTTTCTTTTCTTTCTTTTTTTTTTTTTGAGATGAAGTCTTGCCTTGTGGCCCAGGTTGGAGTGCAGTGGCGAGATCTCGGCTCAATGCAACCTACACCTCCTGAGTTCAAGTGATTCCTCAGTCTCCCGAATAGCTGGGATTACAGGCGCCCGCCATCACCCCCGGCTAATTTTTGTATTTTTAGTAGACAGGGTTTCACCATGTTGGCCAAACTGGTCTTGAATTCATAACCTCTAGTGATTCGACTGCCTTCGCCTCCCAAAGTGCTGGGATTACAGGCATGAGCCACTGCGCCAGGCCAGGTTTTCTTTTTAAACGGTGCTAAGCAAGTTTACCAACTCATTTCTTGAGATTCTGAGTGAATGGCAGCTGTAGCTACCATGAGAATAAACATATAAGAAAAGCATTTTAAATAAAAAATAAAAAAAAAAAGCATTTTATAAGAGGATTTAATCGAATACATACTAGTAGTTAGGCTGTTGACATGTATATCAATAACATTCTACATAGAACCCAGTAAAAAAGTGATAGATGATTTTTTTAAAAAATCACTTTAATATTGCTTTTATGTAGCAAAGAATTTCCAAAGTCAGACAAGAACACAGGAAAGGGGAACTATGAAAACCAATAGGAAACAGTACTAAGGGTTTCTCCCTGGGAACAGATTTAGAAGCCAAGAAATCCTCCTCCTTCCCTGCACTTACCACCTTTGCATCAAATATATTTTGCTCCTTCCTTACCCTCTGTAGTCCTGGACTCCACCGCTCCATGACAACAAGTACTGTGATCTGTGTTATTCACCAATATATCTAGAGCAAAGTTTAGTCTATCACACAGAGGAGTGTTACCACTATTTGATGAATGACCGAAGCAGCCAGAATGAAACTGCCTCAAACAAACAAGAAAGGAGTTTGTGACCTCAGCTAAGCCTGTTGGGAAGAAGAGTTCACTACTTTCTGTAGCTTTGGCTTCTTGGCCAACTCTGAGTCAAAAGTTGTTCACCTTGGCCCAGGCTTTCAACACCTGGCCAAGGGACTCTGTCAGGTGAGTAAATCACACTGAGAAATTCATCTCAAGAAATTCAGAAGTTACAAGTAAATTAGTCCTGGGAAAGCCCATATTTTAGGAGAAAACGTTTTAATATGACATTTATCTGGCTCCAGAATTCACGTTCTTTCCACTTAATTGCACACTTCCTGACCTTTTAGACCTTTAGGTTTATTCCCTTTGTGGAGACAGATTATTGCTGCCAAATAGTTTGACTGACATCTTTCGACAATGACATTCGGTATAAATCATTCCCTGAGCAGATTCTACAAGCAACTTTTTTTTTTGAGACAGAGACTCACTCTGTCGCCCAGGTTGGAGTACACTAACAAGATCTTAGCTCACTGCAACCGCCACTTCTTGGGTTCGAGCAATTTTTGTGCCTCAACTTCCCGAGTAGCTGGGACCACAGGTGTGTGCCACCACACCCCAGTTAATTGTTTATATTTTTAGTACAGATAGGGTTTCACCATGTTGGCCTTGGACTCCTGACCTCAAGGGATCCGCCTGACTTGGCCTCCCAAAATGATGGGATTATAGGTGTTAGCCAAGCCCAGCCACATCAAGCAATTTTCTGACTAGAGTCTGGCTTCTGTGTGGCTCTCTGGTGGTTCTATTTTGCTTAGTTGGCATCTGGTTTATAAGTATCACCCATGAGTTGGTTAATACAAGTCAGTGTTCCTGACCAAGAGGAATCTGCTCTGTGTCCCCCAACAAGAATGAGTGCATGGATGAGGAAGACTGAGGACTACTGCAAGAGGCCTCCTGACAGCCAGTTCCTGGAGACATCACTCACAACTCTCAGCCATGGAAAGTTAGCCCACTTACTTTGGCAGGGTCCCCAGACTGTACCATAAGGTGCCTTCACCTATAACACAAATGTATGAAATCTTACCCTGCCTTTATAATGTGAGTAATGACATCTTAAAATAACAGAGTATAGTCAGGCCTGGTGGTGCACACTGGTAATCTCAGTTACTCAGGAGGCTGAGGCACAAGAATCACTGAATCCGGGAGGCAGAGGTTGCAGTGAGCTGAGATTGCACCACTGCACTCCAGCCTGGGCGCCAGAGCAAGACTCTTGCCTTAAAAACAAAAAAATCCAGAGTAATATGCTTGGCAATACTTGTCAACACAGAACTAGGCACCTGTCATCCTTCATGGGTACTACACACAGACTAGAGCCATAGTCATGGCAAGCCCCAACATAAAATCAACAGGAACCATGAAAAAGGATGCTGAATCTAGATTTAAAAGGCGCAATTCCAATTCCAGCCTTATCACAACCAAATCACAAATTATCCCATCAGCTTCCTCATTTGTAAAACATGAGTAATGGATAATCTAGCTACTACTTTTTAGTATCATCTCAATATTTTCACAATGTTAGAAAATATGGGTATGGTGGCACACGCTAATCAGGAGGCTGAGGTAGGAAGATCACCTGAGCCCAGGGAAGCTGAGGCTGCAGTGAACTGTGATTGCACCACTGCACTCCAGTCCGGAAAGCAGAGTAAGACTCAGTCTCAAAAAAAAAAAAAATTAAAAATAAAAATAAAGAAATACATAAATAATAAGAAAAAGAAGAAAGAGAAAACAAATGGATTTGATTGATGCTGCCTCCATTTGCCTGTGTAGAAAACAAGGCAGATCAGGTTTCGATACCAGTCCTAAACTCTTCTATGCTATAGCTATGAGACCCTGAACAAAGCCCTCTCTCAGGGTACCAGTTTCCTTCACATACAAATTAAAGGTTGAATTAAATTTCTAAGCATTTTGAAAACACTTAGAAGACCAAATGTGAAATAAAATAAATAAACAAGTTGGAAAAACAGACAGGGTAATGAGCTGTCCGTGATGGCTAACACCTGTAATCCCAGCAACTTGGGAGGCTGAGGCAGAAGAATAGCTTCAACCTGAAAGATGGAGGTTGCAATGAGTCAAGATCATGGCATTGCACTCCAGCCTGTGTGACAGAGTGAGACTCAGTTTTAAAACAAAAAACCAGACAGGATACAGACAATTGTTATTCTTCATAATAACCCTGTCAACATTTGACAGCTAAGCTCTTCAAGAGGCAAGTTCATAGCAAAGACTATGAAAGAACATTAACTGTGTCTCTAAATGGAGTGCCAGTGAATAATGAATTTGGGTGAGTGGAGTAAACTTACAAGTTAAGAAATAATGTGTGGTGTACAAGACACAATCTGAAGAACAGCTAATCTACAGAGATTGTCAACAAACTAACACCTCGTTTTCAAGACACAACAGTTTAACTTATCCCCTCATTACTTTGTGAAGTAAGGCAAGCACTTCTATTTCCATTTGACTTATGAAAAAATGAGGGTCAGAAGTTATCTGACTTGCCAAAAGTCACACTGTCAGTCCCTGAATGGCAGAGCCTCAGTTTCATATTTGCTAGTACAGCAGTGATCACGAACTTAACCATGTATTTATTTACCTGGCACTGTCTGTCCTCTGAGATCCTCCGGCTCTTGTCCTCCGTGAAGCAGATATCCTCCTTCTTGTTCTTATCGGCCCTGCACTGTGGTTTGAAGGGGCAGGTCTCAGGAATTCCAGCATGCCATGAAGTCTCTGTAGCCCACTGATGAAGCTGGTCACTGAATGCAATGAAGATGCTCGGATGTTGTGATTAGCACCAGATGCCTGACTACGTTGTTCTGAAGCCCCTGGACTGATGTTCTCCACATTGTCTTCTCCCACGACCTCGACTTCTTCTGTCAGGTCAATGGACAGTTGTGGAGCAGGCTGGAGCTGGGGTGGTCTTGCTTGGCTATTGGCTAATTCAGCAGAAGGATGGAGCAGGGGTGGTCTTGCTTGGCTATTGGTCACTTCAGCAGGAGCAGGCTGGAGCAGGACTGGTTCCCCTTGGCTACTGACCACTTCAGCAGGAGATGGCTGGAGGACAGGTGGTCCCCTTTGGCTGCTGAGCACATCAGCAGGAACAAGCTGGAGGAGGGCTGGTCCCCCTTGGCTGCTAGCCATGTCAGCAGGAGCTGGCTGTTCTGCAGCATAATTTAACTGTTCCTGAAGATCATATTCCATTGCTTCCTGAGCCATCACTAGAGAAACAATATTTGTAAAAAGTATTAATGAAATAGATAAAACATGCTATGTAGCTGACAGAATCATATTTAGTTCTTTCTGAATTTATGTTTAAGATCATTCTTAGCAAGACTGAGAAGCTTCAAGAGAGGATTTTAACTACTTAAATCAGAAGTGTTTGGTAATTGACTTTCTTCTCTACAACAAGCATTTATAACCAGTTTTCCAGTTTGCCCTTAGAAAACATGAAGTCCTGTGATGATAGTAATATCTTCCAAAATGGAAAGATCTATTAACCAAGGGGATTAAACTACTGGGTCTAAAAGTAATCTCTCAGACACGCTGCAGTTCTCTGTCTCAAGCTGAATATGGACATTCACCAAAATCAAATACATATCATGTTGTATCTAATCTTAGCAGGCAATATAAATCTTTCATAGCATCAACAGTTACAAAGGACAGAGAAATTTCAAACTTGCAAATTTAACTGAGTTACTAACTCAAAATGAAAGTTTACCTAATTTTTCCAAAAAGGCTGCACAAACTTTATCCTATCATTTTTGTTTTCTATTTCTAATTTCATATTAGTCTATTCAACAAATATTAAGCACCTATGTTCTTTTTGTTATGTTTCCCATCTTTAATTCCATCCATAGCAACAGTTTGAAAACTACCACCTAGTTTTTAACTAAAAAAAAAAATAATAATAAATAATTTTTTTTTTTGGTTTTGTGATACAGACGAGGCCTTCCTATGTTGCCCAAAGAGGTCTCGAATATCTGGCTTCGCCTCCTCGTGTGCCAGGACAAAAGGATTGAGCCACCGTGCCTCCCTACCACCTAGTTTTTTTTTCTTTTTGAGACAGAGTCTAGCTCTCTTGCCAAGCTGGGGTGCAGTGGCATGATCTCAGCTCACTGCAACCTCTGCCTCATGAGTTCAAGCAATTCTCCTGCCTCAGTCTCCCGACTATTTGGGACTACAGGAGCATGCCACCACACCTGGCGAATTTCTTTTTTGTATTTTTAGTAGAGACAGGGTTTTACCATGTTAGCTACGATGGTCTCAATCTCCTGACCTCGTGATCTGCCCACCTTGGCCTCCCAGAGTGTTGGAATTACAGGCATGAGCCACTGCCTCCGGCTCCTACCACCTAGTTTTTAAAGTACATCAGTATAACTTATCTCTCAATCACTTTGTGAAGGCACATGCTTTTATTTTCATCTGACTTATGAGGAAATGGGTGTTCAACTAACATATATTAAGCATCTCTTATGCAGACAGACACCCTAGAGGCAGACAGGTAAGATCCTGTGTATCAGAGTTTACATTCTAGCAAGTGGGATGTTAATAAACAAATACATGAGAAAATTATAGATTATGATATTTGGGGTTGAGGAGACAAGAAGGACAAAGTAAGACACAATTGTGAGGAAAGTACTCTTTAAAAGAGTGAAAACTGGCCTGAGGTATGAAGGATTTGAAAAAGCTGGCTATGCAAAGAGCCAAGAAGAGTTTCAGAAGGAAACTCTTAGGTCCCTGATGATCATGGGTTTGAGTGTATAGCAGGACACCATCATTAAAGGGCCCATGGGCCTTGGTAAGGAGTTTCTTCTGTGTTAGGAATAGACTGTAGGGGTGCAAGAGCACAAGCTAGGTGACCAGTGTAGAGGCTATTGTGGGAGTCCAGACCAGAGGTCACAGAGACTTAGGCAAGCAGTGTAGATGAAAAGAAACAGACAGCTTTAAGAATCTTCAGGATAGTCATGCTTCTTAAAATCACCAAAGCAGATTAAACCACCTAAAGAGGAACAGAATGATAGAAGAACGCCAAGGACTATAAAGTCAGAGACACTAGTGGTAAAAGAACAGAGTAACAGAAACAGTCAAGGAAGATTACAAAGTAGGAGGAAACATGCGACTGTAGTGTCTCGGAAAAACAATGTTTCAAGGAAGGAACAATTAAGTGTCAAGTGCTACTGGGGGAAAGAATGGCCCCTAGATTTGGGAAGGCCAGGTGACCTAAAAAAGCAGTTTCCCTGAAGTGATGGGGTTAGAGGCCAGAATGGAGTAGGCTGAATAAATGGAGGGAATTCAAATAAACATGGTTTACAAAGCACATGTATGTATTTTTCTCTCTCTGCTCCAGTCGTTCCTAAAAACCCACAAACGTAACTCCTCCTACCCGAGATATATTTTTTTTTTTTTGATATGGGGTCTTGCTCTGTCCCCAGGCTAGAGTGCAGTGGTTCCATCTCGGCTCACTGCAACCTCTGCCTCCTGGGTTCAAGTGATTCTCCTGCCTCAGCCTCCCGAGCTGGGACTACAGGCATATGCCACTCACACCTGGAAAATTTTTGTTTTAATAGAGATGGGGTCTCACCATATTGGTCAGGCTGGTCTCAAACACCTGACCTTGTGATCCACCATGCCTGGCAGACATTTTTTTAAACAAAGGATAAATACACTAGGACAATGCAAATGCAAACAGGATATGATATGCAGACCAGTTTTTTGAGGCCATAAAGGAGAAACTGATGACCAAAGACTACTTAGCAGAGCCAAAAGATAAAACTCAAATGCCTGCAAAGGGCACAGTGGTTGGGGTAAGGGTTGTGTTATTGAGGAGCAAGCTAATTCCCACTTAAAGGGATTGCAAAAACCGGGTACCAGAAAAGGCATTACTGAAAGATGGTGATAAAAGAGGGGGGTTGGTTAAAAGCCAATGAGGTAGTTAGCCTGTCTCCAACTCAAATACCAGCCAGCCAAAACAAAACAAAACAAAATAAAATCCTCCTCCCACTATGCTGAAGAAAACTGGAGGTTTGAACCACACAGTCTTAGGACCAGGATAGAGAGTGGCACAGCAGTGAAAATAAGTGGGAAAGTCAAAGTCTGCAAACTGAACAATGTGAGATACTTTAAGTTTTAAACATTTTTTTTGTAGAGATGGGGTTTCCCAGGTTGCCCAGGCTGGTACTAAACTCCTGGGCTCAAGCGAACCTCCTCCCTGGGCCTCCTAAAGTGCTGGGGTTACAAGAGTGAGCTATTGCAGCTGGCTAGGTAAATAAAAGCTTTCACATTTCAATGTGTTTCTAGGGTACAACAACAGCTTCCCAACAATTGTGTGTCAGAACATAAGGCCCAAGCTACTTCTAGATGTACTCTAGAGACATGAAGCAACTCAGCTTTAGTGAAGATAAAGGGTAGAAAATGACCAAAAAGAGCAGAATCTAGGGGGCTGCACTGTTCACTCCCATAGCTACTACTCACATTTAATAAAAATCAAGTTCGGCCAGGAGCTGTGGGTCATGCCTATGATTCCAGCACTTTGGAAGACCGAGGCGGGTAGCTTGAGACCAGCAGTTAGAGATAAGCCTGGGCAACATGGCAGAACCCCGTCTCTACAAAAAAATACAAAAATTAGCCAATAGTAGCTGTGGTGCCAGCTACTGAAGAGGCAGAGGTGGGAGGATTGCTTGAGCCTGCGCTGTCGTGGCAGTGAGCCAAGACCGTGCCACTGTACTCCAGAATGGGAGAAAGTGAGACCCTGTCTTAAAAGAAAAAAAAAGTAAGTTCCTCTGTTGCACTGGTCACATTTCAAGTGGTAGAAACCCACATAGGGCAGGTAGCTCCCATACTGGACAGCAGAAATACAGAACATTTTCCTTGCCACAGAAAGTTCTATGAAACGGTACAGCTCTGGAGCTGAGGATTGCTAACCACTGCGGACCAGTAGGAGGTGCCCAGAGCAAGATCATGGGCTGGGCACCCCAACCTTGAGCATGTCACACAAATGCTGTTTTTTTATGTGCACTGTGAATGTCGAGGCTTAACGTGTTAAACTCCGACTTGTCATCTTTGTTACTCAGGTTTCAATCAAAGCCACATCAGGTGGGGATAAAAGTCCCTCAATTAACACGTTCAGAGGAGGTGGGTGGGGGAATTCGGGCCAACCTTGGTTTAAATCTTTCCTCTGGCCGGCCTGAAGACTCACGCCTGTGATCCCTGGACATTGGGAGGCTGAGGCAGGGCGATCGCTTACACTCTGGAGTTCGAGATTCCTGTCTCTACCAAAAAAGAAAAATGAAACAGGCCATGTGCAGTGGCCCACGCCTGTAATCCCAGCACTTTGGAAGGCCGAGGCGGGAGGACCACTTGAGAACAGAGTTTTAGATCGGCCTGGCCAATATGGTGAAACCCTGTCTCTACTAAAAATACAAAAAGTTCCCGGGTGTGATGGCACATGCCTATAATCCCAGCTACTAGGGAGGCTGAGGAAGGAGAATCGCTTGAACCAGGGAGGCGGAGGTTGTAGTGAGCCGAGATCGCGCCACTGCACTCCAGCCTGGGCAACAGGCCAAATAAATAAATAAGTAAAATAAAGAAGGAAAAGAAAACAACGAGCTGGGAGTGGTGGCCGCGCCTGTGGTCCCAGCTACTGTGAAAAGGCTAGGCCGGAGGCTCGCTGGGGCCTGGGAGTTCGAGACTGCAGTGAGCTCTTCCAGCCTGGGCACAACAGGGAGACTTCTTTAACAGGAAAGAAAACAAAAGAAAAGAGAGAAAGAGGAGGAAAGGAAAGAGAAAAAAGAAAAATATCAAATCCCTGCTCTTTTACTGCATGGGAAACTTTAGGCGGGTTTCCTGAGCTCTCGGTTCAATTGTTTCGCCTGTAAACCGGAGGTAATACAAGTCGCCAGAGTTCCCGTGATGAAATTAAAAATGAAATTCTTCCGTTAATTTGAAAGTGATGAAATAACCGGCGCTCATAGCTGGCACCAGGCATCGCCGCTGAGGAGCCCGAGGCGAGGCTCTCGGGGGAGGGACCGGGCGACCCCACAGCCCCGCCCGGAAAGACCCGGCAGCTGCGAACTCCGCTCGTTCCGTGATCGCTCCGCGCTCCTGCCGCCCCCACGCTCAGCAACCCCGAAAGTGCGGGGCTCGGGCTCCTCAGCCCCGACTGTTGGCGCCGCCCAGAGAGTCCGAATCAGTTCAGGCCGCCGGAGCCAGCCCACAAGCCCCACCTCGTAAGGTGTCTCCGGGACCCCAATCTGGGAATCAGGCGTGGCGAAGTTATCCAGGAGCTAGAGGCCCCAGGCCTGGGAAAAAGCAAGAGTCCCCCTCACCTGACGCCAGTAGGTCGCGGCCGGGCTCGCGAGTCAGCCGAAGACTCTAGCTACCTCCGCCGAACTCCGAACGCACCAACGCCAAGTGCCACTTCCCGAGCCGCTCAAGCTCCGCGCCAGAGCCGCTGGCAGGCATGCTCCTATTGGACAGAAGCCTCAGGCTGCGGCCAATACCCACTCTTCTTCTTCAATGGGTCCCCGCTAGCTGAAGCAGCGGCGCTCTCATTGGCTGGTTGTTCATAAACCGACGAAGCGCGACCACGCTCGAGGAAGCCTCCTACAATTGGCAGGAATCTACGTCAGTCACCTTGCGCCGGCCCCGGAAAAATAAAGAGGAAGGAATTTTTTTTTTTTAAGTGCTTTTTATTTGAACTTTCTGGCGGGAGAAAGTTCTGGCTGGATTTCTCGGTCCATTTTGGAGATGAAAATATTGAAACTGTGACTCCTGCTTCTTGTCCCTAACGCTTTAGTGAAGGAGTTATCTGTATCCAAAGCATAGTAGCTAATCGCATAATTTCAAAATATTTCAGTATTTTGAATTTTGGAGCCTGTAAAGAGGCGTAGACAGTCCATTTCATATGTATCCTCTCATGAGGTTGAGGAGCTCACGCAAGACTTCGCCTACACAACCTCTTCCATCTCAAACCGCTGCAGTCGATCTGAGCTACTAAACAGTCTCAAATCACTTAGCCGGGTCGTTGCTCGCCGCACGCGAGGGGCCTGCGGAATTCTCCAGCTCCAAGGAGCGCGAGCCCACCTCGGTCTCGGCTCCAGGGCCGCATGTGGCAGGAAAGCCACAAAACAGATAAACCCAGACAAGATGATAAAGACGATCTGCATGTAACAGAGCTCACTAATGAAGATCTTTTTTTTTTTTTTTTTTTGAAGTTTCAATATTTTATTCAAGTTTCTTTTAAGTGATGTTAATTACAGCATTTGAAGGGGAAGATCCAATTCCACACAAAATGGAAAACTCTAAAATGTACCCATTGAACTGCTAAAAAAAAAAACAAACTGAGTGGTGAGAATACAACAGAAGTCCAATTTAGATTCTGAGTGTTGTCACCATGTGATTACAATCACACAGACTCTTCCGAGCTTATAGCTGGAGCTCCTGGAAGCTATTTCATACTCTGGTGCAAGGGTACCAGTCTGGAGTGCAATGGCACGATCTCGGCTCCCTGCAACCTCCACCTCCTGGGTTTAAGTGATTCTCCTGCCTCAGTCTCCAGAGTAGCTGGGATTACAGGCATGCGCCACCATGCCCAGTTAATTTTGTATTTTTAGTAGAGACGAGGTTTCTCCGTGTTGGTCAGGCCAGTCTCAAACCCCTGACCTAAGGTGATCTGCCTGCCTCAGCCTCCCAAAGTGCTGTACGTGGCTTATCCTTATTTTTATTAATCAAAGATACACACCATGGATGGGCACCGTGACTCACACCTGTAATCTCAGCACTTTGGGAGGCGTAGGCAGGCAGATCACTTGAAGCCAGGAGTTTGAGACCAACCTGCCCAACATGGTGAAACCACATCTCTACAAAAAAATACAAAAATTAGCTGAGGCTGGGCGTGGTGGCTCACGCCTGTAATCCCAGCACTTTGGGAAGCTGAGGCAGGTGGATCACCTTAGGTCGGGAGTTTGAGACTGGCCTGACCAACACAGAGAAACCTCGTCTCTACTAAAAATACAAAATTAACTGGGCATGGTGGCGCATGCCTGTAATCCCAGCTACTCTGGAGACTGAGGCAGGAGAATTACTTAAACCCAGGAGGTGGAGGTTGCAGGGAGCCGAGATTGTGCCATTGCACTCCAGACTGGGCAACAAGAGCGAAATTCCCTCTCAAAACAATAAATAAAATAAAATAAAACAAAGATAAGGATGTGTATTAAGTGAAATATTATAACCAAAATTCCTTCCAAAACGTGGGCCTTAAGGAATATGGGCAGGTAAATTATTAAAGAGGATCACTGGAACCACCAACTCAATCCAGTCTGTTCATTTACTCTTAGACTCAAAGCGTAAAGGGGGCTTGTCCAAAGTCTGTCAGAGAATCGGGGCAGGTTCAGAGCCTGCAGAAATCAATTGTATTTCTATCTGCTAGCAATTATCAGTCAAAAGATCAAATTAAAAAATTTTTATTTCCAATAGCAAAAATATAATAAAATACTTAGGAATAAATTTACAAAAAAATTACAAGTCTTACCCTGAAAATTTTGTGCCTAAAATATTGTTGAAAGAATTTGTTTGTTTGTTTGTTTGTTTGTTTGTTTGTTTTTTGAGACGGAGTCTCGCTCTTGTTGCCCAGGCTGTAGTGGAATGGCGTGATCTCGGCTCACTGCAACTTCTACCTCCTGAGTTCAAGCAATTCTCCTGCCTCAGCCTCCCAAGTAGCTGGGATTACAGGCACCTGCCATCACACCCAGATAATTTTTGTATTTTTTAATAGAGATGGGCCTTCACCATGTTGGCCAGGCTGGTCTTGAACTCCTGACCTCAGGTGATCCGCCCACCTCAGCCTTCCAAAGTGCTGGGATTACAGGCATGAGCCACTGTGCCCGGCCTGTAAATATATTTAAAGCCATTAAATTGTACATCTTAAATAGGTAAATCTTATGGTATGTAAAATATATCTCAATAAAGCTGTTAAAAATACAGTCTCAATCAAAATCTTGATGCGTATTTTGAGAAGTGTGATAAAACTTTCTTTGATATTTATTTAGCTAAGTCAACCTGAAAAAGAAGAATCAAGAGGAGGAAATTCTTTACCAGATTTTGAAACTTACTGCAAAGTCATATGAAAAAAATAGTAGCAGTGTATTATTGGTACAAAAGCAGACAAATTGATCAGTGGGACAGATTAGAGAGATCAGAGTCAGATCCATGTCTATATAAAAACTTAATATACAATAAATATGGTACCACAAATCAAGAGGGAAAAGACAGACCACTTAATAGATGGTACAGGGAAAACTGACTATGTGGCTAAAAATAAAAGTTGACCCTATATAATATCACTTCCAAAGGTGGATTCCAGTAGGATTAAAACCTAAATATGAAAGATGAACTAAAATTAAGAGAAGAAAATATAGAATGCCTTTAAGATCTAGAGGTGGTGAAGCACACCTCCAGAGCACAAATAAAAAGCTTGCAATATCTAAAGCTGACAAGTGCTTGATTTCCAAAATATGCAAAGATCTACAGACAAGACAAAAGCAGCAATCATGAGGGAAAAATGGGCAGAGGATATGAACAGGCAATTTATGGAAGAGAAAACCCAAATAGCTAAAGCATGTACACAAGGATTTGAATTCATTAGTTAAAAACAGAAATGCAAGTTAAAATAACTACAAGATACTGATCACTTTATAAGGATGAAAATAATTAGAAAGCTGGATAACACTAAGGGTTGGTGAGGTTGCTAATGGAAGTGTAGCCATAGACACTCTATTCTGAAGAGGTGCTTGGTAGTACTTAGTCACTTAATATACATATATCCTATGGCCCATCATTTCCTCTCCTGGTACTAGATCCCAAAGACTTCTCATACAGGTCCCTAAAGGGATACTTAGCATGGCATTTTTTTTTTTTTTTTTGAGACGGAGTTTCGCTCTTGTTAGCTAGGCTGGAGTGCAATGGTGCGATCTTGGCTCACCGCAACCTCCGCCTCCTGGGTTCAGGCAATTCTCCTGCCTCAGCCTCCCGAGTAGCTGAGATTACAGGCACGCGCCACCATGCCCAGCTAATTTTTTTATATCTTAGTAGAGACAGGATTTCACCATGTTGACCAGATGGTCTCGACCTCTTGACCTTGTGATCCACCCGCCTCGGCCTCCCAAAGTGCTGGGATTACAGGCTTGAGCCACCGCGCCCAGCCCAGCATGGCATTTTTTTGGTGGGGAAAAGTTGGAAGTTGACCAGTTTCCATCACCAGAAAAAAAAAAAAGACAAAATATATGGCTTACGGCTGTTATTTCATCTCTTTGGGAAGATAAGGCAGGAGGTGCTTGAGCCGAGGAGTTCCAGACCAGTCTGGACAGCACAGTGGGACCCTGTCTCTACAAAAAATTTAAAAATTGGCTGGGTATGGTGGTGCACACCTGCAGTCCCAGCTACTTGGAAGGCTGAGGTGTGAGGATTGCTGGAGCCCAGGAGGTCAAGGCTGCAATGAGCTATGATCCCACCACTGCATTCCAGTGCACTCCAGCCTGGACAAAAGAGTGCGGCCTTGTCTCAAAAAAAAAAAAAAAAAATTGGCAAAATGTGGATCTTCACCATGGATGGCAGACAGAAATTAAGGACTCCAAGTATGGAACATGTTCCATGATGTTGAGTGAGAAAAGTGAGGAAAGGAGGCAACATACACGACGTAACTCTATCAGTTGTGAACATGAAAAATGGATGCATACATTTTACAAGAACACAGACAAACAAAACACACTAGAATTACTGTCTGGTGAGGGGATGGGCCACTGGGAAACAGGGTTAAGAGGGAAGTTTTTAAAAAATACATGTATGTGAATAAAGAAGACTCTAGAACTGAAGTGGAAAGATATATTTGTCAAGACTCTGCTCCTTAATAGAATAGTGGAGAGCATGTAATATAACCCTTTGGGGTCCACACTTTCTTATCTAAAAATTGAGACAACACACCTTTCTCTTTGGAGAGTTATAGAGAGTAAGTATTGGTATGCATGAGAGAACTGCATAAAACAACTTACCCAATGCTGTCAGCCTGAGGTTTGTGGAATACTTTGATGGCTACTCGAGCTCTGCGGTATTCTCCTTTATAAAGTGTGCTGACCTTATTTTTGCTTAGCAGAATCCACGGGGATCCTGAAAGCTGCTCCTTCTTGATCTCCTTGACTTGCTCCTGCAGGGATCTCCTGCATGCGTTTTGGTGGTAAATCTGACCTCAGCCCCAGAAGGAAGGAAGACAAAAGAGTCAATGAGCAGAGGAAGGGACACTAAGGGAGGTGGCATCTTTGTGATATAGTGGGGAGCCCTCACCATAAACCAGAGCTGGTCCTGGCTGGGGCTTCTGATGGACTCAGCCCAGAGGAGTGGCTCCAATGCCTCTGAGTGACTGGTAGAGACACAGCTGGACACTTAACAGAAGGTGTCATGCACTTCCTTTTTCTCCTCTTCAAATCCCGCCTGTCCCTCCAGACTTAACCCTCATCCAGACCTGTCTCTCTCATCCTGGAAGTCTATCCCTGTTCCCCAGAGCTTGTCACTTGAGAATCTGGCATCTGGTTTAGTCACTTCAGATCTAGTAGTTAGGGACACAGTTCAAGCTCAGTAACCTTGCTGTTGTGTGTTCACTGTCTGTCTTTCCACGTCCCTCCTCCATCCCATGAGCTCCTGGAAGGCAGTGTCCTCTGCATCTTAGTTTCCTCTTTGCAAGGCCTCTGGCATAAAGCAGATACTCATATTTTGTTGAATAATGAATAAATGGGCATTTTAAATTTGATTTGAATTTTTTCTTGGAAATTCAGCAACTGAACTGAAGCTTTGATGCTATTCATAGAGGTTTTTAAGCACTTTGACAGATGTTAGAAGATATCTTACTGGTCAAGAAGCCCCCTCCAGATGTTATTCCATGGACAGAAGCGGGGGCTGGCCATGAATGGATCCCCAAACCTGTGGGCTGCTTCCACCATCCAGCACAGAAAAACGACAAACGCAGGGGTAGGGGGAGGCTGGGGTCTCACTAAACTGATGACTTCTAGTTTGGGGGCCATCAGAAACAGCAGGGCACATGATAACTTACACTGCCTCAAAGTTTCCTTGATTTCTTTCATGTCGATTTCCAATAGTCTCAATAAAGCGTCTATGTTTTCATTATCTGTGGGAAAAAAGGGTAGTGAATGCTCAAAAATAGAAATTAAAATCACATGCTAATCAAAACTAAAATGCTAATTAAAACTGTTGAGATATCATTTTTTTTTACTTAGTCATTATAGTAGGGATTACTATTGATCACCAATATTCAGATTTCTACTTCTAAACACATAGGAAATGCATTAAAGCATGGCTGGGTGACTTGCTTTTGCTAAGAAATGAAAGAAAAAGATGTCTGTCACTTTCCAGAGGGAGCATTTAATTGACTCTGCACAAGGTTCCAACCTGGCCGCTTTGGAAGTGAGGAAAAGTTTGTGTCAACACCAAAGTGCTATACTATTGAAAGTATCTTGGAAGGAGGACATTCACCTTAGAGAGTCGCCTGGACTTTGCCTAAACGAGAAATAAACTTGTTTCTTTTCTTTTTTCTTTTTTAGCAGAGAGCAATTTATTAGGCAGAGAGAGAAAGGAGTGAGTGAGCTCCCACGCTGCCTGCCATGGGAAGGGAAACTTGTTTCTTTCTTTTTTTTTTTTTAGACAGAGTTTCACTCTTGTCACTCAGGCTGGAGTGCAATGGCACAGTTTCGGCTCACTGTAACCTCTGCCTCCTGGGTTCAAGCAATTCTCCTGCTTCAGTCTCCCGAGTAGCTGGGATTATGGGCATGCGCCACCATGCCCAGCTAATTTTGTATTTTTAGTAGAGATGGGGTTTCTCCATGTCAGTCAGGCTGGTCTCAAACTCCTGACCTCAGGTGATCCTCCCACCTTGGTGTCCCAAAGTGCTGGGATTACAGGTGTGAGCCACTGCACCCAACCTAAACTTATTTCTTTAGAACACTGAGTTGCTGTTGCTTTTTAAACCACAACATAATTGAACCTATCACAATTTATATACTCAGAAACGTGTGAAAATTTATAGCACACTATTTACAGTGGTCAGTCATCCCTGTCTGCCCAGGACTAAGGAGTTCTGGGGACATGAAACCTTGAGTACTAAAAGTGAGAAAGTCTCTTATGGGAAAACTATAGAGAAACAGATAACCTCATGAATTGTCGGTAGGAGTGATATTTATGCAACTTCTACCAACATTTGAAATGCCTCTAGTCTTTGACGCAGTAATTATACCTAGTAATTCCAGTTGTGGGAATTTCTCATAAAGATATCTTGAAATAGGCTGGGTATGGTGGCTCATGCCTGTAATCCTTGCTCTTTGGGAGGCTGAGGCAGGCAGATCACTTGAGGTCAGGAGTTTGAGACCAGCCTGGCCAACATGGTGAAACCCCATCTCCACTAAAAATACAAAAATTAGTTGGGCATGGTGGCATGTGCCTGTAATCTCAGCTACTCGAGTGGCTGAGGCACAAGAATTGCTTGAACCCAGGAAGCAGAGGTTGCAGTGAGCCAAGATCATACCACTCCATTCCAGCCTAGGCAATAGAGTGAGTCTCTGTCTCAAAAAAAGAAAAAAAAATTTCTGGTGATAGATAGTGGTGACTGTTTCAGAACCATCTGAATATACTTGATGCCACTGAATTGGCATCTAAAAATGGTTGAAATGGTAAATTTTACATTATGTATATTTTATCACAAAAAATGGGAAAAAATGATGGGTATATATATTGTGCTATTTTTGTATGTATTTGTATTTGTATCTATTTGTATGCTGCTGGTATGATAATAAAACAAAACTGTATGGTAGATGTCAAGTAGGAAAACAAGCTATAGAACTCTATGGATTTTTTTTTTTTCTTTTTTGAGATGAAGTCTCGCTGTTGTCCAGGCTGGGGTGCAGTGGTACGATCTCAGCTCACTACAACTTCCACCTCCCAGGTTCAAGGGATTCTTCTGCCTCAGCCTCTCAAGTAGCTGGGATTACAGGCATGTGCCACCACGCCCGGATAATTTTTTTTTTTGTATTTTTAGTAGAGGCAGGGTTTCACCATGTTAGTCAGGATGGTCTTGATCTCCTGACCTCATGATCTGCCCGTCTTGTCCTCCCAAAGTGCTGGGATTACAGGCGTGAGCCGTCGTGCCTGGCCAACTCTATGGATATTTACATGGGAGATATTTACATGGGAGGATATTTGAGATTATTTAATGAGAAAAGAAGAAATAAAACAATGTGTTTGGTGTGATGCTGATTGTGTGACAACAACAATAAAATATATATACTTAAATTACCAGAAGGGTATTCAAGAAACTGGTAGATTGTATGATTGTATCTCACATTTTGATAAAGGTTGCACAAATATCCTTCTACCAACAATGGATGAGATTATCGGTTTGTCTATACTTTTTCCATTAGACTTTCTCAGTTTTAGTACAGGAGGTCTCATGTCCTCAGAAAGGGAAACAGGGCCCCCTGAGGTTAAGAAGGGAGATTTACTTCTCATGCTGGCCCCGACGCCCTTTGCTTTGGAGACAGGATCTCGCTCTGTTGCCCAGGCTTCAGTGCAGTGGAATAATCATGGCTCACCACAGCCTTGACCTCTTGGGTGCCTGTAATCCCAGCACTTTGGAAGGCTGAGGCAAGAGGATCACTTGAGGCCAGGAGTTTTCCACCAGCCTGGGCAACATAGCAAGACTCCCTATCTACAAAAAATAAAATAAAAATGAGCTGGGCACAGTGGAAGGTACACCTATACACTCAGCTACTCAGGAGGCTGAGGTGGGAGGATCACTTGAGCCTGAGGCTACGGTGAGCTATGATTGTGCCACTGTCCTCCAGCCCATATGATAGAGGCCCTATCTCAAAAAGCAAAGCAAAACAAAACACCTCCCCAACGCTGGCTTGCCCAAATTTCACCAGCCCCCACCGTATATCTGGGCCAAAGAATGTTAGGGATTTTGAGCTACAAGTGTATTACAACCGCTCAAACTTCATCCTTGCTGCTCCTTTAGTGAATTAAAGTGAGACTAAAATGCGTTCGGCTGCACCTCCACTCCCCACCAAAAACCCAACTTGCCCCTTCTCAGCATCTGGAAGGCTTGTCTGTCTTCAGCTGCATCCTGCTGATCTTCCTGTGCCCAGGACGCTCCTTGGCTTATGTGTGAAACAGACAGGTATTGCTCAACCTGAAGTAACAGCAATAGCTCCTTCCAGACATCATTCAGGTTATTGTTGATGTCTTCGAAGATTATTTTGTCCTGGCTTGCTGTTAGAAACCTCCAAATGCTGGATTTATTGCTGAACTTTTCTATCTCCCTGTCAGCCTCCTAGGGCAGCCTTGAAGCGGTTCATGGCTGTGGTTAACTTCTCAGAGGTTACCCTCCTCTTTCCTTGGTCCTGGAGCATCTCCAGAGACTTGGCCAGGCCTAGGACACGGCTGCCCAGGCGCTGGCACTGTTTCTTGCAGTATTTCATCTCTTCATACTGTTTGTAGATGACCTGGCCTAAGGTGATGATATCCCTCAAATTTTCCAGACCTGGAATAAATGAATGGAATTTGGTGAAATCCCCAAATTTCCTGCATATTCACTATGGCTAAGAAAGAATCAAAGGGATCTGTGATTTAAACGCCTGAAGAGGTCTCTCCACCATTTTAATGAAAGATAGAGATGGTTTGCTGCCCACCAAAATCTGTTCTGCCCTTCCATAATAATAGACTTGTAGCTGAGAAGAGCTGGTACAGCCGGGACTACATCTCCCAGCCTTCCTTGCAGCGTGATGTGGCCATGTGATTATTTCTCACAATGGGGTGTGCGTGCATGTGACCGGCTCTACTTTGGACTCGGGCAGCTTTGCCACCTCCACAAGCTCTCCCTTTGCTGGCTGGATGCTCAGAGTGAAGCGGGCCTAGGGGTGGTGGAGCCCTAAGAAGGGTCCTGGGTCCCTGGATCATCACTTGGCAGAGAGCTGCCCACAGACCTGGAACATCTGCCATGGACTTTTAAGTGATTGAGGAATAAACTTGTATTGCACGTAAACCATTGTATTTTCTGGTCAATAAGTTTACATCCGTTTCGCCTATTACAAATATATCCTGCTAAAGCATAGGGACTTCAGGGGCCAGGCAGTTAATTCAAATGAGTGAAGTGAGCTGGGCTAGGATAATAGTCTTTACTGCCACAGATAAATATGCTTCTGTTTTTCTTAAAACCTAGACTGTCTATCTTTCATTTTTCCAATTTTGACAGAGGCAAGAGTACAAAGATTTATTCGGTTTCTTCCAACAGTCCTTTAAGAAAAATGCAGCTGGGCGAGGTGGTGCCCACTGATAGGAGGAAGAGGCAGGAGGATTCTTGAGGCCAGGAGTTCTAGACCAGTCTGGACAGCAAAGTGAGACCCTTTCTCTAAAAAAATAAAAAATAAAATAAAATATAAAATTGGCCAGGCATGGTGGCTCATACCCGTAATCCCAGCACTTTGGAAGGCTGAGGAGGGCGGATCACTTGTGGTCAGGAGTTGGAAACCAGCCTGGCCAACATGGTGAAACCCTGTCTCTGCCAAAAGTACAAAACTTAGCTGGGTGTGGTGGTGTGTGCCTGTAATCCCAGCTACTCAGAAAGCTAAGCCAGGAGAATTGTTTGAATCTGGGAGGCAGAGGTTGCACCATCTAAATATAGATATATGTTTAAGTTAGCCTGGCATGGTGGCACACACCTGTCGTCTCAGCTACCTGGGAAGTTGAGATAGGAGGGTCCCTTAGTCCAGGAGGCTGAGGCTGCAATGCCAGCTTCTTACTCTCAGCCTCTCTCTCTCTTCTCTGAATGTGAGGAAGCACAGATCCCTGACCTAAAGCTTGGAATGAGGCTAACCTGAGCATGGTAGAATGGAAAGAGAGAAAGAATCTAAGTGCTTGATGACAACACTGAGCCACTGGTTAGAACTGACACTGAACTGTACCCCATCCCCAGCTACAGGTTTCATCAACCAAATAACCTCCCTGATTGTTTAAGACAGTTTGAATCAGGTTTGCTTTATTTGCCACTAAAGCCAATGGAGTTCAGTAATGAATGATGATACTAATGATGACAATAGATCTCTCACCTACTACATCCTAAGTGCTTTGGAACCCCCAGCTCTCCATGGGCATTTTCATTTAACAGATAAAGATACTGGCTTGGGACAGTAGTTCATGCTTGTAATCCCAACATTTTGAGAGGTAGAGGTGGAAGGACTGCTTGAGGCCAGGAGTTAGAGACCAGTGTGGACAACACAGTGAGACCCATCTCTACTAAAAATACAAAAATTAGCTGAATGCGGTAGTACACATCTCTAGCACCAGCTACTCAGGAGGCTGAGGTGGGAGAATCGCTTGAGCCTGGGAGGTCGAGGCTGGAGTGAGCTATGATGATACCACTGCATTCCAGCCTGGGAAACAGAGAGAGACCCTGCCTTGAAAAAACAAACAGGTGAAGATGCTGCAATTCAGGGAGGTCACATTCAAATAATCACAAGGTCATGGAACCAGTTTTCAAAGTATTTAAAATAAAGTTAGGGTCGGGTGTGATGGCTCAAACCTGTAATCCTAGCACTTTGTGAGGCCGAAGCCAGAGGATAGCCTGAGCCTGAGTTCGAGACTAGCCTAGGCAACATGGTAAAACGCTGTCTCCACAAAAAAATACAAAAATTACCTGGGTGTGGTGGTGCCTGCCTCTAGTCCCTGCTACTCTGGAGCCTGAAGAGGGAGAATTGATTGAGCCCGGGAGGTTGAGGCTGCAGTGAGCCATGATTGTGCCACTGACTCCATCCAGCCTGGGCAACAGGATGAGACACTGTCTCAAAAATACCACCACCACGACCGCCACCAATAACAACAACAACAACAACAAAAAACAAAGTTAGTGGTTTTTTAAAAAATAGCTCACTGAAATCGGTAGGTTAAGTATTATCACCAGTTTATGGATTAAATAACATCTTGAAGAAAATAATTGGCCTGGAGCCCCAAGATGGCTTTAAAACATGAGTAAGGCACTGGCAGAAGTGAAACTAAATAAATGAGCTATTGATATACTTGGGTTTTTGTAGCCTGAGAGTTATAAGTGATTGGGCAAAGGAGCTAATAGTTATTAGGGCACTCCTACAAAGACGAGCAGATCTCAGACTACCCGGCTATTCCAAGAAGCTAAGACGATAGCTTCCAGGCCGTTTCCTGGGAATTGTGAGGGCAAAGGGTTTTACACTTCCTCTGTTGCACCAGAAACAGAAGCAAATGTGACAATGTCGTTCAAGGAATCTCGCAGATTTCAGCTTCCCAGCTCCAAGCTCCAATTATCTTACTACCAGCCTCATCGGAAAGCCAAATCTCAGCACTAACTAATCAGAAAGGAAAATGGGGAAAATATCCCACCCATGGAAGTGACACACAATTTAAAATAATAAATTATACAGTGGTGGCATGGTATGAAGAAAATTGCAGCCAGCACAGTGGCTCACGCCTCTAATCTCAGCACTTTGCGAGGCCAAGGTGGGTGGATCACCTGAGGTCAGGAGTTCGAGACCAGCCTGGCCAACTTGGTGAAACCCCGTCTCTACTAAATATACAAAAATTAGCCGGGCGTGATAGCAGGCATCTGTAATCCCAGCTATTCGGGAGGCTGAGGCAGGAGAATTGCTTGAACCAGGGAGGTGGAGGTTGCACTGAGCCAAGATCTCACCACTGTGCTCCAGCCTAGGTAAAAGAACAAAACTCCATCCAAAAATAGAGAAAGAGAGAGAGAGAGAGAGAGAAAGAAAAGAAAGAAAGGAAGGAAGGAAGGAAGAGAGAGAGAAAGAAGAAAGAAAGAAAAGGAAAATTGCACAAAACAAAGCTTGAAGAAAGAGAATTGTTATGTTTCTGGCTGGGAAGACTAAAACAGACCAACCCAGCAATCCCTCCCAAATGTAAATCCAATTAATGGAGTTCCAATAAAACATCCAATGACATATTTTGGCATTAAAACTAAATGATCTTAAAGTTCATTTGAAACAGGCAATTAGGGATAGCCAGGATTTTAAAAAATAAAGAAAAGGAGACTTGCCTGTATGATATTAAAATATATTAAAAACTGCAAAGCATTGGGAAAAAAGCACTCTACAATAACTGACATTGTTTGAGGGCTTATTAAGTATATGATCTCTAAGGGAAGAAAGGGAATATAAATATATATACACCTAGACTGGGCAATTTGAATTTCTAGGAACTTAGGCTGTAGAAAAGTTTGTGTGTGTAGATAGATGGCTACTAAGATGTTCACTGCAGTGCTATTTATAATATGTAAAACAAACAACTAAGAATGTTCAGGCCTGCTGCGGTGGCTCGCACCTGTAATCCCAGCACTTTGAGAGGGCAAGGTAGGAGGATCCCTTGAGCCCAGGAGTTCCAGATTAGCCTGGGTGACAAAGCAAGACCCTGGCTCTACAAAAAAAAAAAAATAATAATAATTAATTTATTGGGTGTAGTGGTGAACGCCTTGTAGTCCTAGCTACTTGGGAGGATCTGGCAGGAGGATCACTTGAGCCCAGGAGTTCGGAGGCTGCTGTGAGCTATGATTGTGCCACTGCACTGTAGCCTGGGAAACAGATGAACACCCCATATCTAATAATAAGTAAAAAGGGGATTATGTTCATAAGTTACAATGAGAAAACAGGTCATTATTATTATTGTTATTATTATTATTATTATTTGGGGACAGTCTTGCTCTGTTGCCCAGGCTGGAGGGCAGTGGTGAGATCTCGGCTCACTGCAACCTCTGCCTTCCAAGTTGAAGTGATTCTCCTGCCTCAGCCTCCTGAGTAGCTGGGACTAGGAGCGTGTACCACCACGCCCAGCTAATTTTTTCGTGTTTTTAGTAGAGACCAGGTTTCACCGTGTTAGCCAGGATGGTCTTGATCTCCTGACCTCAGGCAATCCACCTGCCTCAGCCTCCCAAAGTGCTGGGATTATAGGATTGAACCACCACGTCTGGTACTATTTTAAAAGTGAAAAATCTTTAAATGGTGATAACAATACAAATTCATTTCTTCCTCCCCTCCAAATAAATAAATAAATTAAGGTTATCAGGCATTTCCTCTCTCTCCTCTCTCTCTCTCTCTCTCTCTCTCTCTCTCTCTCTCTCTCTCTCTCTCTCTCTCTCTCTCTCTCTCTCCCTGCAAACCTGAAGGCTTCCTTTTTCTAAGTAGACATCAGGTTACATGCTCTGTGCCCCTGCCCTCCATGACCCCCACCGCTGCTGGGCGTCTGGCTTTGGCATAGGGTAGTGCGAGATCCCAGCAGGCGGCTCCACCATCCGAGTCCAGGAAATGAAAACAAATCGGTCCTGAGTTCCAGGAACTCAGACGGGGCCACCCTCATCCACGGTTCTTCCCAATACGGCTCAGGAATCTGGCTGCAGCCCCTCACCCCTCGCCCCTGCCCCCTCCCCGCCTTCCAGAGAGATCCCATGCTCACCTTCACCTCCTCGGAGGCACAGTTCCAAAACGCTCTTTCCCATGCACAATCTGTCCCGTGCACAGTTCCAAAAAGCTGGCTCTTCCGCCTTCTCTCCCACCACCGCCTGCTGCCCAAGGGAGAAGTTTGCGAACGCAAGGCCCACGGGAGTTCCCCTGCGCCCCCTTCCCTGGTGTCCGCGCCCTGCGCTCGGCTGGAGCCACGAGGAGCCCCGATCCCTCCCTGAGGGAAACCCCAGCCGCTTTCTAGGCAGCTGGGAGCCACGGCCCCTCCATTCCTCCTGCTCTGCTCCTGTCCTTTCCACACTCTCCCTACCTTCCCCAAAGTCACTCGTGTCTACAGCGTACCCAGTGCCAGGCCTTCTCTCAGTGCTGGGGATTCAGAATAGAGTCCAGGGAACTGTTACAATCAGGTCACAGCGTGGGAAGGCTGTGGGAAGGACTGCAAGTGGAGGGAAGGAAGGACCGCAAGTGGAGGGAAGGACCGCAAGTGGAGGGAAGGACCGCAAGTGGAGGGAAGGACCGCAAGTGGAGGGAAGGACCGCAAGTGGAGGGAAGGACCGCAAGTTGGAGAGGAGCTTCTGGTTTTGCTTCTCCGTGCTGGATAATATTGGCGGGGTGGGGAGGATGTAACGAAAGACACCAAAGTAGGAAAGAAATCACTTCCTCCTCGAAGGTCATTACGGAACATCCTGTTATAGGAGAGTTAGGTTTTCTTAAGGTTAGCTACATCTTCAGCCAGGAAGTCTAAGTAACGGCACGCATTTACTCAACAGACTATCTGCCTCTGAAAGAACAGAACTAGGGCCGGGCGCCAGTGGAGACCCCGTAGGGAGGTCTGGAACGTGAAGCTCTGGAACAAGAGGTAGCTTCCTTTCTGCTCAGGGCAATCCTTCCAGACGAGGAGGAAGCTGTGTGAGCCTTCAGCTGTCAACACTCAGAGCAGCCGCAAGGATGGATATACTGATCTGCTATAAACAAACTCATACAGTGTTTAACCTTCTGGAATTTTTGTTTGTTTGTTTGTTTTTACTGTCCCACCATCAATGTACAAGACATTCACTTTCTCTGCATGCTCAGCATTTTGTTTTGTCCCTGTTAGAATTTTTAGCTTTTCTAACAGGTGTATAGTGACAGCTCATAATGCTTTTCTGTTTTGAGATGCAGTCCACTCTGTTGCTCAGGCTGGAGTGCAGTGGTGTGATCTCAGTTCACTGCAACCTCCACCTCCCAGGTTCAAGTGATTCTCTAGCCTCAGCCTCACAAGTAGCTGGGACTACAGGTGTGTGCCACCACACATATCTAATTTTTTTTTTGAGATGGAGTCTCTCTCTGTCACCCAGGCTGGAGTGCAGTGGCACGATCTCGGCTCACAGCAACCTCTGCATCCTGGGTTCAAGCAATTCTCCTGCCTCAGCCTCCCAAGTAGCTGGGATTACAGGACGTGCCACCACGCCCGGCTATTTTTATATTTTTAGTATAGATGGGGTTTCACCATGTTGGTCAGGCTGGTTTTGAACTCTTGACCTTGTGATCCACCTGCCTTGGCCTCCCAAAATGCTGGGTTACAGGAGTGAGTCACTGCACCTGGCCTAATTTTTGAATTTTAGGCAGGGTTTCGTCATATTGGCCAGACTGGCTTAGATAAATGAGTAATCATATAAAATATATAGTAATTAACCCAAATATTTTTTTGCTTATATATATATATATACACACACATACATACATATACACACACACACATATACATATATTTTATATGAGCACTCATTTACCTAAGCCAATTTCTTTTTTCTTTTTTTTTTTGAGATGGTATTTTGCTCTTATTGCCCAGGCGCAATCCTGGCTCACTGCAATTCTCCTGCTTCAGCCTCCTGAGCAGCTGGGATTATAGGCACCCGCCATGACTCCTGGTTAATTTTTGTATTTTTAGTAGAGACAGGGTTTCACAACGTTGGCCAGGCTGGTCTCAAACTCCTGACCTCAGGTGATCCACCTGCCTCAGTCTCCCAAAGTGCTGGGATTACAGGCGTGAGCCACCACATCTGGCCAGTGAATAGAATTTCTAAACGAATTTCTGACTATGCCAGATTTCACCACCTAGACACAACACACAAAGTAATAGACATGCATATGCATAAGCACATCTAAACATACGCACACACACACAAAGATCTTATAGCTTTCATCTTAGAATTTTAGTCATGAGACGGTAATTCAAACTCACTGGTTTCTCATAGACAGTTTAATCCAAATTCTTTTTCTGACAAAATTGGGATCTGTTCACATCACTAAACTTTACTGAAAACTGTTTTACCCAAAACTCTGGGTAAAGCAGTATTCATGACAGTTTATAATAATAATAATAATAACAATAAAACCCTTTCCTCCCTTTCTTCCTTTTTTAAGTTTCAAATGAGTTTAGGGTTAAAATTTTAATGTTTACATTTTAACTAGGATTAGCTGTATTGTATAAGCAAAAGAATATCTCCAAGAAGCCTTGAATCCATCTTTTGCTTGCTGGTCTGGTTTGTTTGACTAGTTAATGCAGACGGAGAAGGATTTTAGCAGGCTTATTTTTATTTTTTTATTTTGGGGGCATTAATCTGCCAAGAAGGTTTTTTTTTTTCTTTTTCTTCCTGGCCTCTATGTGGCAGACAAGGTGATTTTTTTTTTTTTTTTTTTTTTGAGATGGAGTCTTGCTCTGTTGCCCAGGCTGGAGTGTAGTGGCATAATCTTGGCTCACTGCAGCCTCTGTCTCCCGGGTTCCAGTGATTCTCCTGCCTCAGCCTCCTGAGTAGCTGGGATTACAGGTGTGCACCACCACACCCAGCTAATTTTTGTATTTTGAATAGAGATGGGGTTTTGCCACATTGGCCAGGCTGGTCTCAAACTCCTGACCTCAGGTCATCTGCCCACCTTGGCCTCCCAAAGTGCAGGGATTACAGGCGTGAGCCACGGTGCCTGGCCTATGGCAAAATTTTTATGCTGGACAGATATATCCTATATTCTTAATCTGAACTCAGTATTTTGACTTGTTTGATCTAATAGCCTTTTATAAGCTTTTATCTATTCTTTCCTTTTAAAGAATTATTGGTCAGGCAAACCTAAATTTATACTTTCAAAAAATTTCTAAGTTGTTGGTGTCAGTGGATTTGTTGTAACTTGTTAGTTTATTTTATTTTTATTTTTGTTGTTGTCGTAACTTGTAAAGCCACTAATTTGAAAGGTTTTAAGACATTAAAAAAAAAATCTTGGCTGAAATGCCATAAGCAGTGAGTTTTATCTCATCACCTGTAAAAAAGTGAGCAGATTTCAAGTAATTGGAGAAAAAATGGAGATAGAAAACTTAGAAGGCTCTACAAGTTGTAGGGTTTTTTTTTTTTTTTTTTTTTTTTTGGAGAGTTTGAATAACGACCATTTGGACTGTGAATCTTCCCTAATATAATTATTTTGCCCTTCAATTTAAAGATGTGCAGAGAACAGGCTGTAAAAAGTGTCTGGCTAGAATCCCAGTAAACTTGGTGCACCCTAATGTTTGAGAATCCCATTCCATTTCTTATTAATCCCTCAAGAGCAAAGACAATCCTATAAATTCTGTCAGAGACGGTCAGATGTTTGGACTGACACTTTAAATGATAGTGACTGCCATAGTGGTTTTTGGTTAGCCACTCTGTATCTACCATTTGGAATGTTTATTTTCACTTTCAGAAGGTTTTTAGAAATAAGCAAAAGAGCCAAATTAGGCATAACCAAAATAAGACCAAGAAAAGACTCTTTTTGTACAAATTTTAACCCACACATGCAGATCATACACATTATTAAATCAGACATGCAGGCTGGGTATGATGGCTCATGCCTGAAATCCTATCAATTTAGGAGGCTGAGGTGGGCAGATCCCTTGAGGCCAGGAGTTTGAGACCAGCCTGGGCAACATGGTGAAATCCTGTCTCCACAAAAAATACAAAAATAATTAGCTGGGCATGTTGGCATGCACCTGTGGTCCCAGCTACTCTGGAGGCTGAGGTGGAAGGATCACCTGAGCCCAGGGAGACTGAGGTTGTGGTGAGCTGTGATCGCACCACTGCATCCCAGCCTGGATGACAGCGTGAGATGCTGTCTCCTAAATAAATAAGACATGGAGACCCAAAGTGAATTCACCAGAAGAGATGTGCCTTATAGATAGAGTGAAAGTTCTGTAGAAATCGGAGCACTCACCTCAGAAAGACACTGGTCTTTATACCAGAAAAGACAAAAAGTATTTTATCATTCCAGAAGAGATGTAAAGATAGCCTTAAAACCAAACTGATCCAGAATTATATATATATATATATATATATATTTTTTTTTTTTTTTGAGATGAAGTCTCACTCTGTCACTCAGGCTGGAGTGCAGTGGCGTGATCTCAGCTCACTACAATCTCTGTCTCCTAGGTTCAAGTGCTTCTCCAGCCTCAGCCTCCTGAGTAGCTGGGATTACAGACATGTACCACCACATCTGGCTATTTTATTTGTATTTTTAGTAAAGACTGGGTTTCACTTGTTGGTCAAGCTGGTCTCAAACTCCTGACCTCAAATGATCTGCCCACCTCTGCCTCCCAAAGTCTTGGGATTACAGGCGTGAGCCACTGCACCTAGCTCAGAATAATATTTTAAAGATTTCCACTGAAAAGAGGGAGGCTTGGACTAAGAGAAGACTTATCAGGGCAGAAAAGGTGAGCTGTGAGAGCAGAGAGCTCAAAAGTTTCAAGTAAGCACTGCGCACTTGTTCCAAGAACTGCTGATTCTTCTGATAGTGATTTTTCTTCAGCTCCCACATCTGACACCATTTATGTCAAACTAAATAACAAACAGAGAGGCTCTCTGAAGGAAAAAGATATATATTCAGAAGTAGGGCATTATGATGGCAATATGCGTGCTATAGTAAACTGTGTGTATATCCTGTAAGGTAAAGAAAGACAACAGTTTTTAAAGAAAAAACTAGGAGGACTGCATAATTGTTTTGAGATAATTATCCTTGGCTACAAAGTCTGAGTTTGGACAGGCAGTTGCTGAGCATATGTCTTCGCAGAAATACTTTTTGTGTAAAACTGCAATGGCCTTCATGCATTGATCTGGCTTTTTCAGTCTTTTTTTTTTTTTAAGACAGAGTTTCCGTCATCCAGGCTGGAGTGCAGTGGTGCAATCTCAGCTCTCTGCAACCTCCATCTCCAGGGTTTAAGTGATTTTCCCATCTCAGCCTCCCAAGTAGCAGGGACTACTTGGTGCATGCCACCACACCTGGCTAATTTTTGTCATTTTAGTAGATACAGGGTTTCACCATGTTGGCCAGGCTGGTCTCAAACTCCTGAGCTCAAGGAATCCACCCACCTCAGCCTTCCAAAGCCCTGGGATTACAGGTGTGAGGCACCACACCCAGCTTGTTCCAGCCTTTTGTGATCATGTTTGTTATCAGGCATATAAGCATGAGAGCCCTCTCTTCAT